CCCCAACAAATTAGGCATACAGAACCTTTTTTCCTTCTGATGATACGCAAATCAAAAGGACTCTCAGCATGATTTTCAGATCCCAGGCTGCATATGCAAGGCTGACAAGTACAGATGAAAAAAAAGTTTCTATAGAAACTAATTATGTCCCCTCAAAAGATTGTAATAGAGATGAAACTTATCACAGCACAAGTTCCATAATGACCTTAAAAAAACCCACTTTGCTATTGCTTAATATGAATGTAAACAAAATGAGTATAGCAACTGTTAATTAAAATATGGACTCTCCACATGAAGTGTTAGAGTACAAATATATCCTTCTATCCTCCTCAAGCAAAAAAGAAAAAGAAAAGCTCTGCACTTTTCCCAATTCTGACGTATTTGGGCTCTTAGACCAATAGTTTATAAATTCATAGTCTAAAGCCTTCCATTAAGAAACCCCTGACATTCAGATCCTGGGTCTGTAAGCTAGAGTGTTATCAACAGCCCTCAGCTGATACAATACTGACTAAAGATCTCAGGTAGGTACGATTCAAACCACAGAGATCTGTAAAGCTTACCTTGAGTTGCACCCTCATGGAAAGTGACAGCCAGCATAGCCTATGTAAGCACTGGTGTAACATGTTCCAATTATTAAACCTCCTAGGTTGACCTGGCTTGTTTTCCTGTACCAGCTAAACCTTTCAAGAAGGCTTCAAGTACTGGGTGTATAAGAGTAATTTAATCTAGAGCCACAGATGCATAAATAAATGCAGGAAATCCTGGATTTAAGCAAAAAGGTAAACTGTGAAGCAAGATTTGGCCACTGAACCAAATGAGTCTGCAGGAACAAAAGGGAAGTATAGAACACCCATAGATGGCCAACTTCATGCAACCCTCAGCATCCCCCAACTAATCAGGACTGAGCCAAAGCTTGCACTCTTCAAGGCCTTGGCATCATGGCCAGGTTGTGAGACACTACACCATATCAGACAACTGAATAGAAAGGGCGCTGTGCCAAGGTAACCAGCATATTATGCTGCCTTCATCTGCACATACGGAGTTCCACAGCAGTTCCTGTCCTATGAAGACTATACACCTAAAGGATGTCACATTTCCTCTTGATCTCCGTAAAGTTGCTTTGCTAATATTGTAAATTCATCTGTTCAATGCGTCAGTCTCTAGTGCTTGCACTTAGAAAGCAAACTACCAAATAGCAAAGATTAAATTTACTTGAAATGCAAATAAAATACACTCAAAGTAAAAACTAGAGGCTGGTTTTGTTAGACTCAAGAATTACCACAAATTCAGTCTATAGAAGGTTTTGACAATTTGTAGTTACTCCAATTGCTTTTCTGGACAGTTGGTCTGATATACAAGAATAAAGGAAGCTACTTGGAAATATTTTTATCTGTCACTATCCAAACTTTCCATATCTAATCACCATGACATTATTTTCCCATCTATTTTATCAGAGCTAAGTGTTTTAGAGCAGCTGAGTTGTTGTTATAAAACAGCATATTTTTAATGGAAGAAAGGTGCAAGGCTAAAGTGATTTTATTTGGATAAAAGAATCCTTAGAAGATTTCAGGTGAAGGCAAGAGATGTGGACATTGTATATTCCAGCCCCATATTCATGTTGTAGGGGCCCACTTTCATGTGACCAGTTCTATGTACAAAGCTGAGTTGGCTCTTTTCTTGCCCCTCGAAGTGTCCAAAAAAAAAAAAAAAAAAAAAAAAAAAAAATCAAGTGGTTGACCTAGCCTTCTGCTAACTTAAGACTACCATGGCTAACTACATCTCTTTACCTAGCTGGGAAGAGCTAGCATTGCTGTCTGTAAATATTCACAGTACCAACCAAACCCTGATGTTCTAGGGGTTTTGTGTTCTTTGTTATAAGAGTATCATGTGATGCAAACCACTGACTGACTGAGCCGGTGCAGTTGCATAGAAAACAAACAAAGAAAAGGCTTTAGAAAAGTAAGGAGCTGGCTTACACAGGCAATCTACAAACAGCAGCAGCTTGGCTGCAACAAGATCAGTTAATCAACTGGTAATTGTTTTAGTTTTAAGGCCTCTTATTCAAGGATTGTGAGGATTTTTTCTTCAGGTTGCAGCATCTTTTTAGCCATTTTTCATAATTATTTCCCCTCGCTCATCACCTCTCTTCTTTCCCCACCAATAGAGTACCACCTTTGTGCCCACACACAGTAGTTCCTTCTCTGAGGACAGCAGCATCATGGACCATGATTACAATTGCTTAGTCTTAGTCAGTTTCATTACGTTCTTGTGCGTCTACTAGCTTGTGTCTGTTTGTGTTGATGTTGATGAATAAGGCAGCTTTCCATTCACACAGAAGGAATTAGAAATCCAGAAGTGGAAGGGAGAACAGCATTTGGATTTTACAGAATCTGATTTAATTTCCATTGGTATGATCATTATTTTTTTCTGAACTTCTCATCACAAACTTTAATGGATAAAACATCTTAAGAGAAAAAAAAAATCCTGTGGACATCAGAAGTTTAAGCTTACTAGTCAAATACTTTTTTTGCACAAGAAAACACCCAACTGAATCCAGCCAAACTTGTGTCCATAACTTACTACCACCTTAGAGAAACTGTTTAAAAAGTTATTCAGAGAAAGCTGCATCTCTGATGTCTCTCCCGCCAAGACTCCATATCAGAAAAAGGGCATCTGAACATGTGCAAAACTACAGATCTGATGCAAGTCAGTACTTGTAAGCAGCCTGACAAAGCAAGCTGATGGCTCAAGGCAACATGACATTGTCACTAGAATTCGAATTACACCTAGGTCCTGCAAGTTAAAATACTGCAGCTTTCTGACAATGTGTTTTGTGCGGCAGATTAGTTGCTCTCAGTTTCCAACTTGTTGGTGTTCCTTCTGGACATTTTGTTCTAAGGGTAAAAAAGCTTTTGGCTTAAAAGCCAATGTCAAAGTGCTCTAGAATCAACATGTTCAGACTCTACTTTAGAAGTAGTTATGAAAATCAAATTAAATAGGGGAAAAAGATTAAAGCTCTGAGTAGTATAATCATGCTGCACATTCCCCACCCATTCACAGAACAATGGGATCAGGTAGTGAAAAGTGACATTAAGTGCAACCATCAATGTCAGCATGATCAAAGGGCTACTGAGCATGAGGAAATGTATCCAAAACAGACAGCTGTATTATAAGATTTGGCAAAAAAATCTACAATGACTAGTGGAGTATCAGCATAATTATTGGACAAATTACTGTTTTATGCTCATCAGGATTAATTCCAAACTTTCTACAATTAATTAAAGTTACCTAGTCTTAAAAACCCCCAAGTAAAACTGTCCCCCACTCCCAAACCAAGTCAGGTGCTGCAGAAAATATTCAGTTATGTACAATATGTATATTATTTTGGAATTAGCCTACAAAAATGCTGTGAAGGCTTTTTCCATCCCCATTAAGAGTTCTATCAAGATTTCATTAACTGTAGTAATACTGCTTCCAAGCCATAATATTACTTTGGTGACGAATCAGGGCCTGTTGAAATCGAGATTCAAGGTCGGATCATCGGATCAAGGCATGTCCATGTGCATTAAATCGGGGAAACGTTCAGGATTTATCCTGAGACAAGTAACAGTTTCTCTCAGGATATTGCAAAAAAATGTCTATATCAGTGATCCTGAGATTGAATGAATCAATGGCAGAAAAGCAGCACTACACATTCAGCCAGTCACTAAACCCTGATTACAGGTGTGATGCGTGTACATACCAATCCTGTGTTATTCTTGTTCTGGGACAAAAAACATAGGCACAACGTATCCAGGAACAAATGAAATATCTATTCCTAGCTTTACTGATATTTTCAGGTAGTGAATAAATTACTATTCTAAACTTCAAGTTAAAAATATTAGCTAAATCTATTCCTGATCACTAAAGACATAAATAAAAAAGGATGTTGTAACTTTACATTTAAAAAAGTGCTATGCAATCTAATTACTTTTTAACACATCTAGAGCCAAACAGTTCAACAAAACTGCAATTTAATTTCAGAAAATGTGTTAAAATATATATCTATACATCAGTTTCTGACACACTGTGTTAGTATACACAAATGATGGCCTCTCTTGAAACTGTATTTATGAAATGTACATTTTAATTTAAATACTCAGTATACACTGCACTTAATCTGCATGTTGCATTTATTAAATACATTAAAATCTGCAATGTAACAAAACATTTTCTGCATACGAAATTCAAAACACCATTTTAAATGAACAAAAGATGGCTCACTTCATTTTTTTTAAACAACTAGTGTGTACTACACTAGCTCAGCTCCATCAACACCAGCCGTTCGTTCTTTATTTGACATTTTTTCACAGACTATTACATATTACAATAAGAGTGCTGGATAAAAACATGAGGTACGAAAGTGGTTCAAAGATTATAGGTCATGCAGATCATGCTAGACAGCAAAGAAAAATTGTGAATGAGAAAACACTAAATAAAAATACATAAAGAATGTGCATTATAAAATAAAAACTCAATTACACAGCTTTGCTTCTTTGGTTACAAAGTAGGTTGAACAATTTCACAGCTTTTTATTCCCACCCAAAAAAAAAAAAAATCATACGAAATGTCAAAAAGCAGAGGAATCATGGCAATTTCTCTCTATTAGAAAGTAGAAACAGAAATGAGCAAAGTTTTCTTCATCAAAATAGCCCATCAATTATTTATTATATCACAATAACTGGTGACTACCTGTACAGATGCACTATGGTCTTCATACTTACACTCTATACAAAAATTTACATTCAAGCTGGGTCTTTACTACCGTAAATAAATACCAAAGGTAAATTGCCATTAGTGTTAGAAATATGCCAGGATTCTTTTGTTCAATTATTGCCTAAACATTGTATCTATTAAACGCAATCCCGTCTATCATTTTACTGATACTTACATTTATTAAAAAATTAAAAAAAGTTCTGTGACATTGTTCATGTACATTATGAAAATAGCAGCCCTGTAATAAATAAAACAAATAAATGAAACTAAATGTAGGCAAATGTTACTTATATTGAAAGAACAGTGGCTCTTAAGATGAATTGTTACTTCTTATACAAGATAGCAAGGCTCAAAGTAATCCATGGAAAACGGAAACTTGGGGAGCCACCAAAGCTCTTAAAGACCCCACTCATGCGCACCCAATAAATGCAGACTCTTTGCATTAAGAACTCCTTCTACCATTTCCCTTGTCCACTGATGACATAACTGAACACCAACTGCGCTGCATAACATCTCAAAGTGAGGGAAAAGCTCTTGCAGAATGATTGTCTAATACTGAAAAGGCCAAACACACAACTGAAGCATGGCTACTTGCTTTCATATAAAGTGGAAAGAACACCAGTGGCACACAAGGACAGATTGCTTTCAGTTTTTTCTTAATGAGGCAAGAAAGCTTTATGCTGAGGAAACATTCGGCTTCTGCGGAGGTTGTGTTGGCTGCGGAGGCTGTGCTATCACTGTTTGCGGTTGTGAAGTGCTACTAGGATTGGCCTGTTGGGTTGAAAGTTGGGATAACTGATCATTGTTTGAAAGGGATTTTAACAGTGCATTTTCTCGTTCAAGTAAAGAGTTTCTTTCAACCAATTCTTTTATTTGTTCCTTCAAGACTTCCACTTCTTCTCTGACTGCATACATCAAATGGCTTTTCACCAAATCCTATAAACGGTAAGTCAATAGTTACACAAACTGAAAGTTTCATACAGCTGCCAAATGCAACATTTCAGTATGATTTTACAAGGCATTTATTACTACCTCATGACTGCATGCTGGATCCCCTGCATGACTGAGTTCAATAGCAAACCCAGAACTCAGAGTCACTGTAAAACATTCCCAATTTCAAAAGCCGTAAGTAAAGTATCAAGTTAAATAGGTTCTTTTACCCAATAATGGGCATAGGTACTTTTATCTGTATAAAACAATTGAACATCTTTTCTACTCAACAAGAATTAAAAACACTGCAGAAATATAAACAGAGGGAGCTTTTTAAATGGCCCTTTGTTCATCATACACATTGTAATGCCCAGCAGCAATGCTGCACTGTAATGCATGCACACAGCAGCAATAATCTGTAAGTAATGCTCTAGGTTTTAACCTCAGAGGCATATATTAAATTTGCCAGAACACGTTTTACTTCAACAAGCATCTTCTAAAATCAGGGGTGTCCAAGTGGTACAGACAACCTCTGCATGTGGCAAGAGGCAGATTGGGGAGGGGCAGGCAGAACAGTGGCAACAGGGCAGGAATAAACAGCAGCAAAATCAAGCAGGGGTAAGAGATCAGAGTGGCACTCATGGAGGGCACGGGGCTAATTTGTGGCACCCCCCCACTACAAAGTTTGGCCCCCACTGTTATAAAAAGTATTCTACTGCAGTTGTTAAAACTGGCTGCCAGAGGTAAGTTACCACAACTAGAAAAATCTAACAAATACATATGCTTCAAATGCCCTATTCAAAAATATTTAGGTTTATAGCACAGAATATGATGGGTAACAAGTGGTAAGTGGGCCTTATTCCTAGGACTATACAGGAACAATTTTATGGTTAGAAAATCAGCACTAAAAATGCCAGTTGTAAGGACTAGTAGGTCCTAAGCATCTTTGATCTAGTATAAGAACCAGAAAAACTTGAAATGATTAAACAAGGGAGAATAGGCAATAGTTTTAGTCAAACTAAATTAAATTCACAAGCTAGCACTTCCGCTACTGGCATAAATGAATTTAGTTTTGATTTAACCAAAGGACTTAAGTGTACTGTATCCTCATGTCCCTCTAGCATTTAAAATCAGAGTTGAATTAGTCAGATCCTATGAAGAAGTTGTGAGCAAACAGCAGAGACTGGAATCTCTTTTGGTCAAATGCAGAGCCAATCTTGATCTGCTGTTATTCTATAAATCTACAAACATAGGGAAACCCTTACTTTAAGTGACAGAATAAGACTAATTACATTCATGGCATAGCATGCAATTTTGCTTAATATTACTACTACTTTTTTTAAAACAGGAAAATCTACATTATCTAAAACTTTGGGGGGGAGGAGGTGAAATCAAATATGGCTCAAAATGTAATTTTATGGATTAACCATCTATCCTTCTCAGAGGCAGAAATTTGTACTTACCATTGCCTGTTCTATTTTGTTGTCAATGGCTACAACACTTGCACCAGATGCACTGCAAGAGAGAAAAAGAGGGTGCTCAGTGAACATTACAATATTTCACTGAAACTGAACCCATTTGACAGTCCTTTAAACTATGTGCCTTTGTTGAACAATTTAAGTCTTAGGATACACAATATGTTATGGAATTCTTCAAAATATCCTCTCTGAAATTCTCTTACCTGCACTGAGATAGTTTAAGATATAAATATAGGATCATAGAAAAGTAGGGCTGCAAGGGACTTTGTGAGGTCATCTCAGGGCAAGATCAACCATACTAGACCATCGCATCCAAGTGTCCATCTAACCTGCTCTTGAAAACTTCCAAGAATGGAGATTCCACAACTTTTCTGGGTATCCTGTTTCAGTGCTTGACTACCCTCATAGGTCAGAAAGTTCCTCCTAACTAAGGTTCATAAAAGTCAGAAAAGGGTTCAAGGGACCTCCACAGGTCATCGAGTTCAAAGTCCTGCCAGATCATCCCTGTCCAAACCATCTTATACAAATCCGTAATCTAGCCTCTTCGTAACAACTACCATCAACTGATACAACACAAGACATGACACCCTAACCTGTCACAGGTAAAAGCAGGAGTACCACAGCAGCCAACATCCTGCTGTTGTAAACAGTTATTAATATATGCTCCAGAGACCCCAGGTAGAAGTCTATGCCCCCTGCTACAGAGGAAAGTAAAACCCCCCACTGTCCATACCAATCTAACCACAGAGTAAAATTCCTTCCTGACCCCCAATATAGTGATTGGTTTGACCCCGAGTGGAAAGGCAAGACCCTTTAACCAAAAATCTCTGGTTTTAAGTCTGAGCTGAAGCACTGGCACACCCTAGTCAAAATCCCAACCTCGGCAACAGCCACCACCCAATGCTTTTGAAAAAGGTTTAAAAAAACAAAACCAAAAAACCACACATTCATACAACCCACACACCTGACAAATACAGCATAAGAGGGGAATGGGCAGGACTCCCTCCCAGCCTCATGCAACAACCAGCAAAGCCCAGAAGCATGGGAAATACCCAGAGTAGAACATAAGCTAGTTACACCTAAATCAAAAATTGTTGACTAGCAGCTATACACAACTTCTTGAGCACCTCCAGTGATGGAGAATCCATGCCTTCCCTAGGCATTGATTCTACTGCCTCACTAACCCAACAGTGAAGAAGTTTCTCCAGATATCCCATCTCAACCTACTTTGCTGCAACTTCAAAGCCATTGGTCCATGTCCTGTTCTCTGCAGCAATACAGAAAAGGTGCTCTCCCTCGTCTTTATGGCTGCCCTTCAAGTACTTGAAGGCTGCTATCAGGTCCCCTCTTAAGCACTTTTTCCTCAAGCTCAAGTTCCTCCTGCCTCTCCTCACATGACTTGCTTTCCAAGCCCTTTATCATCTTCCTTGCCCGCCTCTGGACCCTCTCTAACTTTTCCACCTAAACTGCAACCTAAATTTCCTCTGCTGCAGCTTGAGACTGTCCCCTATGGCCACAGAGAACAGCCTACTCGGTAATTTTCAACCAGGGTGTTGTTTCAAAACAGGTTTTGACCTGTTGTCTTTGAGTTCTTTGCAACAGAAGAATCTCTATTATTTTTTCATAATTAAAAAAAACCAAGCAGAAGCTAAAATCTGATGTTTTGTGGGGTTCTCCAAGTCTAAAAAGATTGAGAAGAACTGACCTATCTTCGTCTTCCTTATAATAAAAATAAAATCACTATTCATGTATTTGAAGACTTATCAAATCCCCACTCAGACTTTTCTCCAAGCTAAGTAACCCTAGCTGTTTCAACCTTTCCTCATAAATCATGCTTCCCAAGCCTCTAAAATCAGGGGTTTTCAAACCCTGGCTTTAAAAACATACAAATGCACACTGGTCTTCTATCCAGCTTATGATCTACTGTAACTAAGTCCTTCTCTGCATTACTACACCCTAAAACACTGCTTCTTCCCATTAAAACTTCTTCCTTTTGCCACAAAACCTAACCGATTACTATGTATTACACACTTTAGTTAATGTAATTGAAACTGCTTACCTTCCCTTCCTCATAAACCAGCCTCCTTGGAAAAGGGCTTATACAGAATATAGACAAGTTTATTGTATACAATTTGAATTCCTGCTAACCTACTGGATCAGGTGCTTATATTAAACATTAAGCACAGAAACTCTTAACAGTATTTCTCAGAATCTACTTACCAATTGCTTGTCAATAAAGGAGCTATCTGATAATGACTGTATTTACAGCTTTAAGTAGGGCCTTAGCTGTAAACATTCATGTGTATGTTCAGAGTCCTGGAAACCCAAAAGGGTGCTCATTTTCTCTCAGATAATTGAATTTAATAGAATTCCATGTCCTGAGAGCCATTAAATCCCAGTCAGGTGGTTACCAGTATAGGACAATTTTTATCAAAGCAGGTTTCACACCATCAACCCAAGAGGGTAAATTGCCTTTAGGCTAGCATTATTTCAGGCATCAAGAAATCCATGGTAGGGACAAAACATTAGCAATTGTATATTTAACTACAAAACAATTGATGTGTCGGCATCTCTCTGGGACTCATTTACCATAATGTAGTTTTAAAGAGATGACGTTTTAAACATGAGCATAAACTATTTAAGGAGGGCAACTGTGCTCAGGCTAAGCTATTTGAAGGTTTCTGTAATTTCATGAAAAAAATTCTTCTCTAAGAAAATCCTACTGCAGATAATAATGTTCATCTTTGGAGACAGCAGCAGGGCTAGCACTAAGTTACTTATACAACACTAAAATCCAAATAGTCTGTAAAATAGTTTAACACTGAAGCAATTCTGCATCTGCACAAAAGAGCTGATTTAACAGATTCCAAACTGTGGGGTACGGTCTTTGCAGAAAGTCAAGTTACAAGCAGTTTTAAGCAAGATGGCTGCTAACACTGGGCTCAAAAGTGTTTGTTTGTTCTAAATACATTAGCTCTCACATTCTAAATCCAAGTTTCTCACAAAATATTCTGAACTGTAGTTTTGATGCTGGGGAACAACATACTACGTTTATTTGTGGTTTCTCAAGTCAAATATCTACAAAGTAATTTTATCATGAATCTTGCAACTTCACTTGATTTTAAAAATTGTATGGTCAGCCTTTTATTGTGCCCATGAAGCATAATACCTATGATGCATGCAGAAGGCAGGACAGGGATTTAACTCTGGAACTGGTAAATACTAAATTAAGACTATCTAGGTATTGAGCATGTTGGGACTTCAAAAGAGTTTTTCTCCACATCACCACTTACATAATTTGTCACTGCCAAGACAACACAGTAAGGCTCTAAGTGTTATACTGGTTATACAATTTAAAATAGAAACAATTCAAACTACAGTATTTTTGCCTATCTTGTTACAAGCAAGGCAAACCTTTCCAGGCTTCCAAGCCGCCCCAACATTTAAGGTTTTAGGCAGAGATTTTTAATTAAAAAAAAAAAAAAAAAAAAAAAAAAAAAGGGTAAAAGAGTGTCTACTTCAACAGGCACTTTACAGCAAGACTATTTTACTGTGTTCCTACCTCCCAACCTTCCTTTGTTTCATATTTACTGTAGACTTTCTTCCTCAAAACCCAAATATTTAAAATGGCCACCAACACCAAAGCAAGTGTCCTTTTTATTCTCCTATGATTTGAATATAATCATTTTTCTGAAACTAGCTTAACTCATTTTAGACTTTTGCATTAGAATCATAGAAAACGAGGGCTGGAAGGGACCTCAGGAGGTCATCGAGTCCAACCACCTGCTCAAAGCAGGACCACCCCCAACTAGATCATCAGAGCCAAAGCTTTGCTAGCCGGGTCTTAAAAACTTCCACAGACAGAGAGTCCACAGGTTACCTCTCCGGGTAACCTGTTTCAGTGTTTTACTCCTCTCCTAGTCAGAAATTTTTCCTAACATCTAACCTAAACTTGCCTTGCTGCAACTTGAGACCATTGCTCCTTGTTCTGTCATCTGCTACCACAGAGGACAGTCTAGCTCAGGGGTGGACAATTATTTTGGGTGGAGGGCTGCTTACTGAGTTTTGGCAAGCCATCAAGGGCCACATGACAGGCAGCCAGGGGCAGATAAATATAAATTTTCTAAAATTTTTAGGGGCCTTGCAGGCCGGATACAACAGCCTGGAGGACCACATCCAGCCTGCAGGCCACATTTTGCCCACCCCTGCTCTAGCTCCATCCTTTTTTGAACCTCCCTTCAGGTAGCTGAAGTTTGTCATTAAATCCCACCCCACCTGGTCTTCTCTTCTCCAAACTAAATAAATCCAGTTCCCTCAGCCTCTCCTCAGAAGTCACGTGTCCCAGCCTCCTAGCCATTTCCGTTGCCTCTGCTGGACTCTCTCCAATTTGTCCACATCCTTTCTGTAGTGGGGGGCCCAAAACTGAACATAGTACTCCAGACGTGGCCTCACCAGTGCTGAATAGACTGGAAGAATCACTTCCCTCGATCTGCTGGCAATGCTCCTACTAACGCAGCCCAATATGCCATCCTAAGTGCAGGGTTCTTCCATCCTAAGTGCAGGACTTTGCACTTGTCCTTATTGAAACTCACGAAAATTTATTTTGGTCCAATCTTCCAATTTGTCTAGATCTCTCTGAATCCTAACCCTACCCTCTAGCATACGTACTACTCCCCACAGCTTGGTGTCATCTGCAGACTTGCTGAGGGTGCACTTGCGGATGAGCCGCCACTGCCAGATCACTGCAGGCTCGGGACAGCATCCGCACCCCGTGGGTGAGTGTGTAACCACAGCAGAACAGGGTGCAGGCAGCAGCCCGGGGGTGGGGAAGCTCTGTGGGCTCAACTTACACTTGCCCAGGCTCCACACTCCTGCCGCCCACCCACCCATTCTCACTGCCACCGCCGCTTCCCCCCACCCGCTGGCCACTCCAGCACCATGTGCCAGAGTGGAACCTGGCTCCTGCCACCCCACCGGCTGCGACCCACCATTTCCCTTGGCATTGCCACTGCTTCTCCACACCCCCACACTGAGCAT